AGACCCAAGAACTGCTACACTGCAAAGAAATGTATGGCGCCAATGCTTCTCAACACCAACTACATATTAGAATCACCAGGGAAGGGCCGGCCCGGGGGCGCACTGCTACAGTGCGCCGCTTGAGAGTGCAGCAGCGCTCCCGCCGAGGGTTCGGATCCCACATACAGACCGGCCACTCACTGGCTGAGCGAGGTGCGGGCGCAACACCAAGGGTTGCGATCCCGTTGCCGGTCCCGGTCCGGTACGGGCGCGACACTGAGGGTTGCGATCCGTTGCCGGTCACGAAAAAAGACAAAAAAAGGAAAAAAAAAAAAAACTTTCATTCATCAAAGGACATTATCAAGAAAGTAAAAAGACAATCTATAGAATGGGAGAAAATGTGCAAATTGTGTATCTGAAAAGGGCTTAATATTCAGAATATTAAGGAAACACTACAAAAGAAATTACTACAAATCAACAGCAAAAAGATAAACAACCCAGTTAAAAAATGGGCAAAGGACTTGAATAGACATTTCCACAAAGAAAATACACAAATAGCCAATAAGCACATAAAAGATGCTCAACACCATTAGACATTAAGTTAATGTACATTAAAACAACAATAAAGTACCACTTCACACCAGCTAAAATGGTAAGAATAAAAAATAAATAAGTAAATAAATAAATGTTGGCAAGGATATAGAGAAACTGGAATGAACCTTCACATGCTGTTTGTGGGAACAGAAAATGGTGCAGCCACTGTGGAAAACAGTTAGGCAGTTCCTCAAAATGCTAAACATACAAAGGCACTTCAAAAAGTTTGTGAAAAAATACAATTAAAAGGTAATATGAATCTTTCCATGAACTTTCTGAACACCCCTCAAAGAATTACTACATGACTTGGCAATTCCATTCCTGGGATATACCCCAAAAGAACTGAAAACAGGAACTCATACATACACTTGTATGTCAGTGTTCACTACACCATTATTCACAATAGCCAAAAGGTAGAAACAACTCAAGTGTCCACCAACTGATGACGGGATAAACAAAATGTGGTATATACATACTATGAAATATTATTCAGCTATGAAAAGGAACAACATGATGATACATGGTAAAATATGGATGAACCTTGTAGACATTACACTAAATGAAATTAGCCAGTCATAAAAAGACAAATACTGTATGATTCCACTTATATGAGGTATCTAGAGTAAGTAAATCCATAGAAACAGAAAGTAGATTCCAGGGTTGGTGGAAGGGGAGATGAAGGGTTATTGCTTATTGGTTACAGTTTCTGTTTGAGATGATGAAAAAACAGATACTGGTGATGGTTACTCAATATTGTGAATGTAATTAATGCTGCTAGATTGTGCACTTAAAAATTATTAAATGGCAAATTTAATTTATACACACACACACACACACACAAGGCATAATTGAACAAACAAAAAACAAATGATTAAAATTCACCCTTAGAAGTTGGGGCGGGGGGGGGGGGGCGCTATGGGG